CTGGCTTCCAGCTCTTTCAGCGCGCACCCCATTAGGGTTGCTCCTGAAGAAAGGGTGATTTCGTTGGGGTTGTTCTTCCGCATGGAGGGCCCAGCCTGGGCTTCATTCGACATGGATTGGTACACGGATGTCGTCTGTCCTCAATTATCACGAACTTCGTGTCTTGACGTATGATGTTCATCGAGTCCTCCTGCTTAAAAAAAAAAAACCGCAGGGGCAACATGGGCCATGGGGTACAGGACTGCAAAAAAGCCGAGGTTTGCTGCTGATCGCTTGGATTGCGGCTCACGCCTTACAGCTTTCCAGTCGCATGAACAGTTGGTGAAGTCATGGCATGGCCTTGCATTGCCCGTGCCCGTTGGCATTGACCACCGCTGCGTGAATTGCGCTTTGAACATTTTAGGTCCTACGCATCAACATCGTTCAACCCAGCCAACTTGAAAAAATGGAGACCCCTACTTGAGGCCGTCCACCCACCGGCACAGGTCGGAACTGAAAATGTTTTGTTGGCTACCGTTCGCAATGGTGGAGTGTCACAAGCATGTTGATGCGAGTTTGGTGGTTCTCGGCAGCTACGTGACTTGAAACAGTGTCGAACGACAGACTGTTGAGTTTTCAGACCCGCAGGCACCGGAGGCAAGAAATTCGAAGTTGGAATTCTTCACCTTGTGAATGGCTTCTCCGCAATTCCCGGGCTAGAAGCACATAATGAGGCGAATGCAACAGTTTGGACGACAAACGCTCGAGCATCCACCAGCTGGTGGTTTTCGAAAGGTTGTTTTCCAAGAGCCACCGAATGCAGCGCACCCTTCCGTTTGTTGCGAGACGACAAGCCTTTTGAGTGGTATGGTTCGCCCCTCTACAGCCAACTCGCAATTCCACTTTCAAGATCTTTCGAGATCCTTGTACACATTCATGATGGTGACATCACGACAACATGCGACACGGAAAAAACAACAGATACAACATGCGAAACACCACGCAAGCGCAGCGAATCGAGGAAACATGGACATGGCGACAATCAATTCCTGTCTTATCCAGATTCACACTATGGGCGACAAACATGCTTACAGCAATTACAACGCGCTTGATGTCTTCGATGTCACGCGCTGTTGCCAAGAGATCGCGCCTGCTGCAAGCCTGCGACAAAACCGGCAATGCGCCTTGCCTCTGCTCCGGAATATTGCCCGGGTGCCGTCAGCATCCTTTGCACAATTCCTTTCGCCGGCCACCGCGGCCGCTTGCGCATAAGGGCACGCATCTATCTGGATGGGAGGCACTCATGCCGCTATAGGGATCGGTGACAATCGGGTCGCCGATTTAAACCGTATGTCGCTGCTGAATCGTACCATTCAGAAGTCGGGCCGCTTCGTAAAACGCAGAGGAGCGCGCGGCGTTCAAGACGCGGTACTCCGCATCCGGAACCGGCGTGTCCAGGCGCGGGGCAGCAGCGTCCCAGCCGCACCGTCGAGGTCTGCGAAACGCATCTTGAGAGCGCGCATTTGAAAGCGCGCTTGGTTGCAAGGACTCCTGGACTATGCCTGCCAAGAGCTGTCGTTGCTGGACTGTCAACGCGAACCCCAGCTAGCCCCTTTCCTACCAGGAGCTGAGCCTGACGAAAGCTGAGCTCAGCCTGTCAGGTAGCTCCGGTCCACCTATGCCCCCCAAAGCACTGCTGCCAGGCAACGGAGAACAACGGCGTCATTGTTTCGTTCGTGGCGCAAGCCTTGCAGCCATGAATTCCAAAGCGCCGACCTGACTGGGCAGGCGGCAGCGCCCAGCGCCCCTGTCTAACAAGTGTTCTGGGCCTGGGGGTCTTCAGGCAGCAGCGCCTCGAGCAGCTCCGGCAGTTCATTCGCGCTGTTCCGTCGTGCGAGTCTTGCCGAGTTGCACCTGGATGTTTGCATGCCGCGGCGCCACAATGATCTCCCATTGGGTTTGGAGCTGGGCAACGCTGCGGTTGGGATCCCCTGCTTGTTGTAGGGCCTTGTGGCCAAGGGCGAGCCAGCAGGGCATGAAAAAATTCCCCTGCTCCGCTCGCTCTCCTTGCAATCTCCTGCGTCGCAGAATGGGCATATGTGAGAGCCGTCAAACATTAATGCATGCTGGGAGTTGTAGTTTCCGTGGGCTGGGACTTGTTTGGCACTTGCTGGGGTACTGATTTTATCTGCTACTGGTCATGGCTACTGCCGCTGGCGCAAGCTCAGCTTGTCTGCAAAAGTTGGATCGCGTCAACCTGAGCCGGCCCGAAAACGTACTTGTAATCTCTTTCCCCAGCTCTTCTGGCTCGGCAGCCTGCTGCGCATCATTCTCCATCTGTTCACCAGCAGAATACAAGGTGTCTCTAGACCAGGGGCATGACAAAGTCAAGCTGTCCCCAACTGCAACGACCACACGAACAGGCTCCCATAAACAAGCCCGACATGATCACGCTGACATTCATCACCAGAATTACTATACGTGCTCCTCAGAGACCTGGCGCCTGTAGCTCTCCAAAAGGGGCACGCAGGCCAGTCACAAACCGACAGTTTGTAGGGTTTAGTGTGGGATTCTATGGTTTGGGCTTATAAGGATCCTCACGCAAAGCTGGCACGTGGCATTTTTCTATGTTCATTTGGCCGGCAGGTCGAAACTGAACTGCTGTCGAAGCCAGTAGGGCACAGTCTCTGGACTTGGATCTTTTATGTTCGGCATGAGCCCATTTTTGTCTGTTCTGGCAGACCTGTGGGAATGTTGTTGCCCAGTTCGAGAATGAAGTCTCTGTTGTTAAGCCTATACAGTGTTTGGCCTGAAGTGGAATTACTTGTATCATGCGCCTTGCCTAGACCTCACCTTGGTGGACCTTATAACCTCATGAGCACTTCCCTTCTCCGAACCCTTACAAACAAACAACGAACCCGAAACCCTGACCCCACATGTCCGTTCATATCCCCTACCCCCTTATATATTTCCTATGAAGCCATTCTGCGCGCTTCAACCCGCACACCGTAGGAACTCTGTCACAGCCGCTTAGGGAGCCATTGCCTTGTGATCTAGTGACTTCCAGCACCTGCACTCAAGAAGATGCGGGGTGAAACTGTAGATGCTATAAATCCTGCATGGCAGTAATATACCGAAGATCCAGAACTGCCTGGATTGAGGGTACCCATGCAGGATTTCCAGTATCGACAAAATGTCTGTTGAGCTGCTTGCTGTGGGTCGCTCGGTCAGCGTCCCAGAAGCGCAAGAGAGTCTATGCACATACTCAGACTTCAATACGACCCGCAGATCAACCCACTCCGGATAATGAGGCCTGAACGATGCATCACACGCCAACACACAGACATCAACCTTGTCAAGAATGATCGCAACGAATGATTCTTCTGGCTAAGATGCGGGTCGTAAAGGAGTTCATGTAAGCAGGTCTGTTGTGGAGAGAGAGCACTGACCAGAATGGGAATTTCTTGTTGTGCGCGGAAAGACGCAATCCGAAAACTCCCAACGATCAGGAATCCTGAAACCCCAAGCTGCTTTCCTGCTGTCTTATGTCAAACGAGATGATCCTAGTATCTATAAGCATGATCATAGCTTCAAAGCTTCAAAGGCCTCTGTTTAGAACAGTGGCTACAGCCCAAACAATAACTGCGCTCAAGGGCTCAGGAATCGCTGAAAGCACAACGTAAGCCCCTTTGCATTCAAATGCAGTCTACAACCCTGAAGGTACCATCCGTCACACCTCGACACAAAGGAAGGTAGGCTGGGATCTAATAGCCAATGTTGTGATAAGCCTCTCATCATGTACGTCAATACGGTAAGATGCAAAGTAAGAAAAGGTAGAGACGCTCTGGGACCCTAGGAATTCCCATCACACATACATACATACATACATACCTACCTACCTACATACAAACTGCCTATACAGCCCTATTGACCTCCTGCAAGCTTCCCGAAACCTGGCAGTTCACCTTGTTTGTGGATCCTGAAATTGTATGGGATCGTGATGGCCTTGTAGTTGTCCCCCTCAAGGATTACATTAAGCTAATGCGTGGCAGCTCCCTTGAAATCCTTTCCAAACCCTTGATCCAAGCACGCGTTGCGCACGCGCAGACCTCTCTATAAATCCTCTCTACCCTGCAGAAATCTCTATGAAACACGAATTTCCACCTGAACAGAAATCGCGTAATCGTCCAGCATTCCTGCGTCACCGTGCAGCGCATTTCTTCGCCGCAGAGAGTAATCGCTCCCGAAAGCAAGTCCTCTAATGCCCATCACCTCTTCCAAGCACGGCCCAATATCCTGCGAACCCATCACAACTTCCTGGGCCCTCTGGAAGGAACTTCCATTCTGGAGGCTCGCGCGGAACTTAGGAACCCAACAGGGAGCCCATCAGGATCACCGCGCCAACGCTTGCAGCGCCAATCCAAATCCTCTCATAGGAGCTAAACACAGATGACAGCTTTGGGGCTGGATTCTCATCTGGGGATCACACGGGGCCTCTGTAGTTGACTGTAAGATTCAGTGGTGTTTCTGTTAAAAGCATCATGGCTTCAGCATTATCATGTCCTGTTTTGCTACGCAGACTCTGTCGGAATTGCTTTCAACCGTTTCCCTCTTTGCTATCGAGGTGTTCGCACACTTGCTTAGTGTCTCTGGTTTGGGAAGCTCTCTTTGCCAGGCAGCAGCATAGCCCAAAGCGGTCTTTGCAAAAGGTTGTGAGCCAACGGGACAAAGCATAGACGAAAACGCATAACCAACAATTCAGCTAGCATGCTTGGTCGAACAGCGCTCAGCTGTTAGCATATCATGATGATGCACACCATCTGGCTGCCTGAAGGTTCGCCTTGTTGCAAAAAGTGTTTTCTTTTCCATTGCCCTTTGCACAAAGCCTTCCCACTTGCCGATGCAAAGGGGGCATCCACCCAAAGCCCAGAAAGGCCTCTACAAGTCGCACCTCCCCCAAACAAACTAGGTACTGAATGATTGACAGTACCAAGCACATGATGTAGACAAACAAAATTGGCCTGCGCTTCAGCCTTGCGCTGAAGTTGTATCCTCAGAGCACGCAGACGATCTTTCTTATTGATCATGAGCTATTCCTTTTAGGGTTTAGGGGCGGGCTTCAGGGTTTCAGGTGGTTGCCACGTTTGGTTCTCAAGTCGGGTTACTTTGCCATTCCAATTGCTTTTTCTTACTTGCCCTGTCGTGAAAGTCTATGATGATGATACCACTGTCATGTCTGTCGCTTCAACAACAGATTTTTGTACAGCCTACGATAACGATGTGCTGCAAGAAGAGTACGCAGCAATTTCAAAAAGCCATGCAGCCCTGAATCTGTGCTTCTGCATTTTGTTTAAAAACCAGTGGAATCAGAATGCTCAAACCTTTGGAGACAAACAAAAACCAACAGAATCCATGGTTATTGCAACATTTGGAAGTCCGTCATTCTTAAGCTCATTCGGTCAAGTTGGTTCCTTGTTGGGAATGATGCCCGAAGACCAGCGCCATTTCTTATCCACAGGTGTGATTGTAGAAGTGCATTGTTGGATTTGCTGCCACGTGAAAACCCTTTCACAACAGCTCCCGCCAAAGGATGCAGCTAGGCCACACGGGTAAAATAGTGCAACGAATATCTCCGCTGGAGCTGCAAGCATGGGTGTAGTTGTGAGTGGCTGCGTGTGTCCAAAACCAACACCATTCCACGCTGACAACATCAAGCATCACATGAAAAGTCTAGATGCATCACATCAGTCAATCCCTAGACACTCGCTGCATTCTGATTTGGGTGCGAAACCTCTTCACACCGTGGGGCACGACGCTTGAAATTCCAGGCATATAATCATACTGTAAACCTCTCCTACACGCTAGTCCTAATAGAGAAAACCACATCGACCTTGACGGTGACCACTCTTCCTGGCCAATCATCCCAAACGCTCAAGCCTGAGGCCTAAGGCCTAAGCCTCCTAAAGCAAGGCAGAAACCCTGCAATGCCGCAGGTGCTCTGAATCCTGGGCTAGGTCATGTAAGACCTACACCGTGTGAGTTATAGTCTAGACTCCTAGTAGCCGCCTTAATGACCCCTGTCCCCGTTTAAGGAGTTCAGACTACAGCTCATATAGGGATATAGAGATCTCATTCCCACTACTCCTTACTATACCCCAATAGAAAGTATTCTGAAGGAGTTTAGGGTAGAGCTCATATGGGGATTATATAGAGATCTCATTTTCACGTTCCCTATCCACCAGAAGTGTATTCGCTACTATACCCCCAATATACCTTACTCCCCCATCTCATCCCGCATATAACCACCTTTTTTTTAAGGAGTTTAGACTACAGCTCATGTGTAGGTGCATACTCAAATCAAACCCTCTGTCGCAGGCCCAGCTACTCTCGGTGTACTCGATCTCCTCGCGGCCCCGCTCGATGTCTGCAGAGGCCCGAGCCTAGGCGGGAGGGTTTAATGGAAACTAGAACGTAGGTTTTTGGGTTTAAGGAATGGAAAACAGAAACTGCTGTTTAGTGTTTCTATGGCTTTTGAGATGGAACGCTACTACGACCACCCCCTTCACAGTCCTTATCCATCTGGAACCTGTTGTGCAACACAAGGAGGCCGCTTAGTTTGGAAAACCCCCCATAGCCCCACTCTTAGTTTCACAGCTGCCTCCGCAGCTGAGAGGTTGTACCTGTATTAGGGTTTAAGATACGTAGTAAAAGCCCAGACTCAAGAACTATATAAACAGCAGAATGGGAAGTCTTCACCACTGGGATTAGAGGTAGTAGAGTCTCTTACTACCAGTAGTACTATGGCAGACTCTGTCAGTTACTATTGGGGAGAAGCAGGGCCCCTGGCCATGTGGCTCTCCAACGTATCAAAGCTGGAAGCTTGTTCTTCGGCAGCTGTGGCCTCGGATCTCATGGTTCTCCCCCTGGTACCACAAAAAAGGTCACAGTTATGTATCACAAAATAATAATGGGGAATATTGAGTCATAGGGGGTGGAGGTGTCCTGCAATAGGGGGCGGGGATTATTCGGAATTCAGCTCCCGAAGCGCTGTACTAGCACAACCAGGCAAGAGCTACTCCCAGCATGGCTGACAGGAAGTTCCAGAGAGCAGTCTGAAAATCTCTGCAAGAATTCATGGAGACTTCTGTGGTATATAGTTCTTTAAAGGATACCTTTTCAAAGTTGGGCATTGTCGCATATATCCCATCAGATCCCCACAAGAACCTACAGCATACCTACAGAATCCTACATCAAACCGTTATGATCCCCAGCAAGTCCTACACATGTCCACATTAGCTCGCTCTTGTCTGGGGGAGAGTACGCCCATGTCATGGTTGTTGGTCATCCGTTCCTCGTGCCGGCATCCCTGCGCTTAGTTAATGTTCTACAGAAGGTAAATTCCGCGATTCTGGTGGGATTTCTGCGGTCTGAGATACCCGGGCCAATCGGCCAATAACGAAAAGTGATGGTTTCCTAACCTTTTTCTACGGAATTCCCAGCAGAATATAATCAGGGTGTATGAGATGCATGAACACCCTCGACAATACGAATGCAAGTCAGGAGGAAGCCGCTCTTTCAGGTAGTACATGACCAGATACAAGGACCAAGCAGACAATGCCTAACACCTCTTGCTAAAGTAGCCAGAGGGCCGCGACGATCAGCTTGTTCTTAATATCAGTGGTTTGCACAGAGTGCTCCTCCTCTAGTCCTGCTACAGCTATTATTATAGTGCTACCATTGCCTGAAGCCATGACGACGATGACGACTTCTACGAAAATGTTGTTATCAACGCCTTATGCTATCAAAGGTGCGAGATCTGTGTAGATGCGCTGCAGGCAGAGCATATCCTGGCAGGAACACAGAGGATCTGTGGGCACTGTGCAGCTTTGTAATCGAAAAGCCCGAACATAATTGCAGCTGTCGGGATCGGAGAAGGAACGCAGTTGTCCATCCTTTACGTATTGCAAGATGGATCCTAAGCCTGGAGATTGACTACATCAGTCGATCAAGCTTTGTAGGAACGGTTTTGCCCCTATTCAATCCAGGCCTCCCAGAAGTCACAAGGCTAAGGACCCTGACTTTATTCCAGTTGAGCTAGTAGTCAAGCCCATGTCCAACACTGCTGGGGAGGGCAGGGCCGCTTTTCACGACCTAGGCCGCGAACAATGGTCCTACTTTGAGACGTCTTCTCCTTCTTGAGAGAACATCATAACTCCAATTCTGCACCATCGTCATCGTCACCCTCATCATCATCATCATCATCACCACCCTCCCGTCATCGCTTCGATAAGGATAACGTCCACAGCCAGTGGGCCTGTAGGTACTTGTACGCCTGCGGTCCGTAACTTACGATGTCATGCTGCAGTAACCCCAAAACAGCGAATATAGTGTTCTTTCAGCCTGTCAAAGGAATTGGCACATTCAAGCCAAACAGATGCAGTTGGGTCCTCATCCACCTTCCGCAGAGTCTGCACTTTGTCCGTCTGCAAGGCCGCCTCCTCAGGATTTAAGCTGGTTTTGTGGGTCTTCTCAAGAATGAAGATGCCCTTGGAGTGCTGCAGGAGTCGATATGGCTATGGGGATGCAAAAATGTTGCAGGGGTTCCTCTTCACGATCATATCAGGGCTCGTTTCTTAATTTCCTGTAGAACATCCTAAAGATTGGAAATAAAGGTGTTTCAGGCCATGCTCTACGATGAAAGTGCACATGTAGCCTCCAAACCTCAGGAGGGTTAACAGAAGGTCAGATGGATGATTTGCTCGCATCTGCTAGCTACACGGCTTTGCAAGCAAGTCAAAGCAAACGGACTAAGTGATGGCCCAATCACCCTTCAAATTGGCTGATACATGGAAGGGCTTGGCAGCCGAGGCTCCATTTGATCTCCGCCAGTAGAGAGCAGAGGCTTTTGGTCATTGCCCCCAGCAACATCCGCTGCTGCAATGCCTGGGGCCTGCAGATCAGGATGTGAGCTGTTGTCAGGGATCCTTGCGTGCTTGAGGTCAGAGGTTCAGGGGTTCGCAGACTAAGAAGTGCCCTAGCAAGAGCCTCACAACCAAGCTACTCACGATTTATCCGAGAGCTGAGGAGCTTCTAAACCCTGCAGCTGTATGTCCAATGCTCTGAGTAATTCTCCCAACGGCAAAAGCCAAGTAGTTCCTTGCAACAAGGTCTGACAGCCTCAGGTTTAGTATTGTAGGGCGAATTTGAAAGGCGTTCCCGTGATCCTATCCAACCCTTGTCCTGCTGTTGAACTATGTAGCCTTGCCACAACTCTTGTCCTCAGCTTGCTCTAGCCATAGGTAGCAACTTTCGCCAAGACAAGTGAGGACCTGAATCAGCGGAACGGAATCTATGCGACATTCCCAGGTAAGGCCTCGAACACCCCAGTGCTGCCCACGCGCCGGCGCTCCTCTGCAGTGAAGCGCCTCACCACGTCCTCCAGAGTCCGACAACCACGACTACTGCTGCTGTTGTGTTGCTATTGTCACTGCTGCTGCTGCTGCTGCTGCTGCTGCTGCCAGTAGACCTGCCCCCATGATGGCTCTGATGCCAGGCTGCTTCCCCAATTTCCTGTTATTGTAAGTGTTGGCGTTGGTATTGGGGATATTTGGATAGCCTGTGAACTCAAAGAACCGAAGGACAACTTTGCCTGTGATGCGCGTTTGGCTTGTGCAGAGGTCCTGTTGCTCTGGTATAGGACAAAATTCTTCCAGCACCCGAAAACCGCTCTCTCAACTCCATGCGTGTACTTTGGAGCCTTGATCGCCTTGCACAAGTACAAACAAACGGCTGCCTGGACCTTCTGCACGAAGAGTGAGAACGACATCCCAAAAGGCTTGTCCTACCCTCATTGGCCACAAGATGTTCGTCCGAAATTCTTCCCAGCACGCCACTGCCGCACTAACACCAGCAGCATCGTTTTCTCTTGCCACTTTTAGACATGCAAATGGAGTTCGTTTTGCTTATCGCACAGGCTGTTGTGAGCTGTGAGTAGACTATATGCCTTGAAACACAGAGGCTGCTCATGAACTGCAAGGCATTTTTTGATGGACACGCTCTTTAAAGTGCTTTGCCGGGCACTTACATACAACTGGTGCATGTATGCGCTGTAGACCACAGTTACCACAATAATTACTACGGTAGCAGCACCTGCAGGGTAACAACGCAGCTTTGGGAAAATGAAGACAACGATAGCATAGTTTTATATAATCCCTATACTAATGTAGTAGTTTCCATTTTATTTTCCATTATCCCTATATAACCCCTATATTTCTATGATGCACTGGTCTTTTTCTGCCGTGACCTTTGCCTTATGCTCATCACTGTATTCCCAGCGTCCTCCAGAACGCGCGCGGTGATGGCCAAATTGTCCGAAAGCTTCTGATACCTGAGACATCATCGTAATGAGTGCTGACACAGATGAATTGGCGCGTCATCTTCGTCACATAATATTGGAATGAGCCTGGCAATGCTGCAACTGTAGCTGCTGCTGTGACCGGAGCTATTGCAAACATCATCACGTCCATTGTCGAAGCTATCAGCCATCCGCGATCAGTAGCATGAGCGCAGTAATTGCCGATAGGGCTGATATCAGCTACGCTGGATCCTGCAAACTTCTGCCACCAGTGCCGCAGTGACACATCATGCGGCGGTTGTTGCGCTCAGCTGTGTTCTGCGCCTGGCGCGGATGGTCTGAAGCCGGGATCCAGACCTAGAACTAAAGATACCTGCCAATCGGGCTACTGTCCCCTGAGCTCTGAACAGACTATGCTGCCCATAACTTGCAATGTCACCATGGTATGCACTTGGCTCTTAGCTTCCATCGCAGGATTTCACGTTTACAGGGCCTTTCACTTTTGCAGGGTTTAGACAAGTCTGCTTTCTTCCCCATATAGCAATACCGAGCCACAAGACAACAAACACCAAATCGCAAGTTGGCCCTGGAGTCTAAAGGGTTCTCTTGCAGACCTGAACTACTTTTACTTGTTGCCATGAATCATGCGTAGGGTGCAGGATCTTACCCCCGCTTAGCATTCCAGCAGTGCTGGATCACAACTAGAACATGGGATACAAATCAGAGCGTAGGACCCCAAACCCTGGGTGCCTGATGCTGGTGTTCTCGGATCCGTGCTAGGATCGCCTTGGTCTCCGAAGCCTGGAGTCCGGACTCACTTGCTGCATCTTGCACATTCCGCTTACACTGCATTTGTCTGACCGTTCCTATTGATGTTCTGTCTGAGGATTGTTGTTTACAACATCTTCTACGATGATCATTTGGTTCTTGAAATTGCGAGCATCAGGGCGTCGGGTTCTGGGCTGTGGGACCAAACCCTATAAGGGTCCAAGTTCCCAAGTTGTGTGTTTTTAAAGGCCCAAACAAAGTACCTATTTGCGCCCAAACTATCTAGTGTTTGAGTACTTGGACCCTTAGGGCCTTAGGGAAAGGTTCAAGACAGGCTCAGATGGAAGACGTCAGAATCAAGGCCAAAGACTAGAGTATCTCACGAGATATTTATTCCCCACATTCTTCGTGGGTTTCTTACTTTTACTGCATTGTCCGTTTTGCCCCCGTCGCTCCCGATCTTGCTCCCGCTGCTGGCGTCGCCGTCTCGGGTCCCGCTGTCTCCTCCCCTTTTAGTCCCGCCGTCAGACCCTCCCGTCGCCATCTCGGGTCCCACCGTCTCCGTACAACTCACCTTCGTTTTGTCGCCCATTGCCGTCCTTTCGCCTTTTCCTTTCTTCATGTCCTTCTTCTTCCGTCTTCTACTCTCTCTTTAGATTCTGGTAAAGCTATACGTGTGGGGTCATCTGGTCCTTTGATTATCATTGTCAGTCTTATCACTACAATTATTGCCATGCGTTGTTGATACCACCATTATTGTTGTTGTTGTTGTTGTTGTTACTACTACTACTACTACTACGACGACGACGACGACGACGACGACGACGACGACGACGAGGACGACGAGGACGACGAGGACGACGACGACGACGACGACGACGACGACGACGACGACGACGACGACGACGACGACGACGACGACGACGACGACGACGACGACGAGGACGACGACGACGACGACGACGA